TAATGACAGAGTGAGTGGCAGAGAAAACCACTTACATTTGTGTCATAGAGAATGAAACTGGGATCTCATAATCCCCTTTGAGGGCACACTCCTAGTGACCTAAGGACCTCCCATAAGGCCCCACCTCCTAATTGTCCCCAGCACCTGGAGACCAAGCCTGTAGTATATGGACTTTGGAGGGCACTATCCAAACTTAGCATCAGCAAATGCTACAATCAGAGCTTTTATACCCAGGAGAATGTCCTGTTAAACAATTACCAGTATGGCACTGAGACACAGATGTAATTAGAGTTCATTCCATGTCCACCAGAGTGAGGTGCTTTGGCCCTCACCCTCAGTTTGTCTTTTTTTTTTTTTGGAACTGGGGGTCAAACCCAGGGCTTTGTGAATGTGAGACAGATGCTTTGCCACTGAGCTACATCCCAGCCCATTGGCTCTCAGTTTGGGTAGAGTTTAAGAAAAAAACGTACCAGTGAGTTTGACAGACATAGGATTCCCAAAGTCAGGGTGGAGAGCCTGCATCAATTGGTGCTTGGGAAGTTTGGACTTCATTTAGAGGTAAGGCTTTTTTTCCCCCCTCCATTAAGCTACAACCCCAACCCCTCACCTCCCTTTTTCATTTTTTATTTTGAGACAGGGTCTCACTAAGTTGCTGAGGTAGCTTCAAACTTGTGACCTCCTACTTCAATATCCTAAATCACTGGGATTACAATCTTGCACCACCATACCCAGCAATGCATTTTAATTTAAATCCATTTTTTTCCTTCCAGGTGTCCAGGCATACCTAATGATACTTAGTGCACTTGAGCCCTGGTATCTTTTACCACATACATTTCTTACCTTTGGCTTCCAGCATTTGACAGTGATGGTGTGGGTGTGGATCTACGCCTTTATTCTACTTGATGTTTCTTGAGCTTCTTAGATATATAGATGAATGTTTTTCATAAAATTTGAAAGTTTTCGCCATTTTTTTCTTCATATATATTTTCTGTCCCTCCCTTTCCTTTCCTTCTGCATAGGCACTTAACTACTGAGTCACATCCCCAGCCCTCTTTTATATTTTATTTAGATACAGGGTCTCACTGAGTCACATAGAGCCTTGCTGAGTTCCTGAGGCAGGCCTTGAACTCATGATCCTCCTGCCTTGCCTCCTGATCGGCTGGCATTATAGATATGTGCCAGCGTGCCCAATTTCTGCTGATTTTTTTAAAAACATTTTCTCCCCCCCAGTTTCTTGGATTGCATAATCTCTAGGTAATCTTTCTTCAAGTTTGCTGCTCCTTTGATCTGCCAACTGACATCTGTTATTGAGCTCCTCTGATGAAGTTTTCATTTCAGTTATACTTTTCAACCCTATGATTTGTTTTATTGGAGCAGGGGTACTGGGCATTGAACCCAGGGTCTCATGCATGCTAGGTGAGCACTCTATTACCAAGCACATCCCCAGCCCTTTTTATTTTTTTGAGTCAGGATCTCACTAAATTGCCCATGTTGGTTTCTTGCAATCCTCTTGCTTCAGCTTCCGAGTAGCTGGGCTTACAGGTATGCACCACCACATCCAGTTACAACACTATAATTTCTACTTGGCTCTTTGTCAGCTTAACTTATTAATATTTGTGATATGATGAAACATCATCATCATACCTGCCTTTAGTTCTTTAAGTATGGACTCCTTTAGTTCTTTGTACGTATATATATATAATATCTGCTTTGAAGTTCTTGTAATGTCCAGTCCAGGCCTCTTCAAAGGCATCTATATTGCCTGCATTTTTTTCCAGTGTATGGATCAAATTTCTTCTTTATATGCATGTTTTATAATTTTTTAAATAAAAAAACTGGGCATTTTAGGTAATTTCTGTTGTGATGGTGAGTACTGATCCCTCTTCTGAAGGTGAAGGTAGCATTTGCTTTGCTGTTTTAGTGACTTGGCTGAACTAATTCTGCAAAGTCATTTTCACCTCAGTGTGTAGCCTAATGCCCCTTCTCAGATCCTCCTTTTATAAATTTTTTTTCAAGCTTTTTCCCTTTTTAATCTTTTAAACTGGCCATTGAGGGGTTGCTCCTAGGGAGGGATAAGCCACTTATGAACCAAAGGTTGTGCAAAGCTCTTACCCAATTGAGAGTTTTGCCCTTTACCATTGTGTGTGTGTGTCTACTACAGTTCAGAGAGATTAGGTCTTTGCCTCATAATCAACCAGCATGGAGGTTCCTTCTCTGACTGATCCTGGGAAGAAAGATTTGGGCAGGCACCAGGGATGAGTATGGTATTTTAGGCCAGGTTCTAAGACTTGTTCCTAGGTCAGAGTGGCTTATTTTGAACCTGTGCTTAATCAAAGGTTATAGTTAAGCCCCCTGTGTCTGAAAGGTATCTTCTTTTTGTTGATTGTTCTGTGTGTGGCTAGGGGGATGCTTTTAAATCTGTCCATGTCCTATTCTGATTGTATCTGAGTGGGGGTAGCTTACTGTATGCACAGCCCATGGACTTCAATCTTCAGAGTTGACTTTGATTGCAGGGGTCCCTTTTTAGTTGTCTTTCCCTGCTTCACTCCTTGCCTTGCCATTTGCCCTGACAAATACCTTCAAGCAAAGCAGGGTCTAATGGATAAGCACGTGGTCTCTGTTCAAATCCTGAGTTCATATATATCCAACATAACAGTTATGTTCTTGGGCAAATGACTTAATTCCTCTGTACCTTAGTTTCCCCATTTGTAGACATGGAATGATGTTAGTATCTGTTTCATAAGGTGCTATGAAGATTCAGTGGGCTCTGCCAGACCCAGTGGCGCATGCTTGTAATCCCAGGGGCTTGGGAGGCTGAGGCAGGAGGATTACAAATTCAAAGCCAGCCTCAGGAACTTAGCAAGGACCTGTTTTTAAATAAAATAAAAAAAAAAAAAAATATATATATATATATATATATATATATATATATATATAAAGGGAGGTGGGAATGTGGCTCATGGTTAAGCACCCCTAGGTTCAATCCCTGGTACCAATAAACAAACAAACAAAGAAATTTAACAGGCTAGGATGTGGCTCAGTGGTAGAGTGCTATACCTAGCAAGTCCTGAGTTCAATCCCTAGCACTGCAGGGGAAAAAAAAAAAAAGCTAGTGTTATAATTCGTGATTAGCATTGTGTCAGTGCTTGTTTTGAAGTCACCAGTGAGAATCAGACACTTGGAATCCTTTTATTTCTTCTGCAGTGATCCAAATTCATTCAGAATAATTGACACTTTTTCTGCTTTGGATTGTGTGTGTACGTATGTGTGAGCACGCATGGATGCTTACTCTCTGAGGGATTAGAGCAGGGTTCTCACCCTGTAGTTAGTATACATAAGAGGCAGAGAGGAAGCTTCATTAAAATTCAGATCCTAGATGCTACCTCTAGATATTCTCATTCTATGGTATCATGGAAGGCCTGGGAATGTCTTTCATTCATGTCTAGGTAATGCTGATTCAGGGGAACAATGGACCCCAATCTGAGGCAAACTCACTAACCCTAGATTTCTTTAGAGACTGTATGCCAGTGCAGTGGTTCTCAACTTTGTTCGGTGGCAAGAGTGGAGGGGCATCCTCAAGGGTACATTTGCTGCTGGGGTTACAAGCGTGTGCCACAGCACCTGGCTGGAGACACTTTTGATTTGTTATAGTTAGGAACCATTACTGGCATATAGTAAGTGGGGACACGTGCTTAGCATGCTTGAGGCCCTAAATTCAATCCCCAGCACCAAAAATAAATAAATAAAGATAACAATGGCAGAAGGTTCTTAATAATTTTAAAGGCCATATTCAAGCTGGGCATGGTGTTGCATGACTGTAATTCCAGCAACTCCAAAGGTTGAGGCAGAAGGATAGCAAGTTCAAAGCCAGCCTGAGCAATTTAGTGAGATCCGGTCAAAAAATAAAAATAATTAAAAAGGGCTAGGGATATGGCTCAGGGGTTAAATGCCTCTGTGGGGGTTCAATCCCCAGTACCAAAACAAATAAATATACAAATAAAAATAAAAGAGCAAGTCATACCAACTTCATGATTTTGATTATCTCTGAAAATCTTTGGAGTAGGGATGGTGTTTCCAAGATTTTCATTTGAACCACTATAATAATAAAAAATTTAAAAAAAGGAGAAAGGAAAAGAACAAATTATAGGAAGTGGAGAAATAAATTATGACATTTCCCATGCTCTGCAGACTATGAGAAAGATGACTTGTTTTTCTGGGTACGGTAATGGAAAGGTGGCCACTGTGCTTTGTGAATATACACGTCATGAAACTATGCTCAAGAAAGGATAAACCGATTTGCACTGCCAACATATTTTGATAAAACATTACTAATTTCTTTATCTTTACCAAATATGTCCCCACACAATTTCTTCTTTGTAACTGAAGCCTTTCCACCCTTCTAGTCCACAGAGCTGGTGGGACAAATACTAGTTACTTTGGTTTGCCTGGTGATAAAATCCTATTTGGGGGAGAAGGAGGGCTAAGAAAATTAAAGAACATTTTTTTTTTTTGGTAGCAGAGATTGAACCCAGGGGCGCTTAACCACTGAGCCACATCCCCAGTCCTCTTATTTTTCATTTTGAGATAGGGTCTAGTAAGGCTGGCTTTGCACTTGCAATCCTCCTGCCTCAGTCTCCAGAGCTGCTGGAATTACAGGTGTGCTCCACTGTGCCCAGTGGAAACATTTGAGAAGAATTATATCTACAAAAGCCCACTGAGTGGTGGAAGACTAAAACCTTTCCACTATGGCCAAGAAAGACAAGGATGTTAGAGCTCTCCACTTCTAGTCAACATTATAAGGGAAGATCTAACCAGGGCAATTAAACAAGAAAAAGAAAGTGGAGGCAGGCAAATAAGAAAGAAACCTATGTTTGCAGATATTACTCTATATACAAAATCCCCTAAAGAACTAATAAAGAAAACTATTAAGGGCTAAAGAAAAGTTGCAGAATATAAGGTCAAAATATATTTCTATATGCTAGCAGTAAACAATCTGAAAAGGAAATTAAAGTGATTTTATTTACAATAGCATAAAAAATGCAGTAAATTTAGAAGTTTACTTCTCAGAAAGTTGGTCTTGATGACCTAGATCTGAAAAGAGGTCAAACATACATCAAAAGGGTCTTAGTTTCACAGCCAACTGGGAAATGTAACTGCAACAATGTGAAAGCAGTATTCACTCATAAAAGTGGTTAAAATGGGTGGTGGAGAACCAAACCATATGCTGGCAAGACTAATCTAAATAATTAAACTCACATTGGTGGTGGGAGTGTAAATTGGCCCAATGATTTTGGGAGAAGGTTGGGCTGTATTTGCTAAAGCTGAACATATGAATATTCCCTATCCTGGTAATTATACTTCCAACTATGTATATAATAGAAATGTGAATATAAATGAACCAAATACACATGGACAAGGATGTTCATAGCAACAGTAATAATAATTCTAGACTGGAAACACCCAGACTGGTATCAACAGGATGGATAAATTGTGCTGTATTCATATACAGAATGATTATTTACAAATATATGCAACAACATGAATCTCATAAAACTAAATAAGCAAACAAAGCCACATGAATTGGGGTTGTAGCTCAGTGGTAGAGCGCTTGCCTAGCCCAATGTGAGGCACTGGGATAGATCCTTAGCATTGCATAAAAATAAACAAAATAAAAGCATTCTGTCCATCCACAATTACAAAAAACAAACAAACAACAACAAAACCAAAGCCAGATATAAACAACAACAAAAGTACACCTTGTAGGGTCCTGTTTATATAAAACTTAATATGAGGAAAAACAAATTAGAAGTCAGAGGAGTGTATTCTTTGCTGAGGTGCAAGTGGGGTAAGAGTGATGACTAGAAGGGATAAGAAGGATGATTCTAGAATGCTGGCAATATTTTTTTAGTTGAGTGCTGGTTCTCAGATGTGTTCATTTTGTGAAAATTGGAGTTTTTTTTTTTTTTTTTCTCTAAAATATTTATTTTTTAGTTGTAGTTGGACACAATACCTTTATTTGCTTTTATGTGGTGCTGAGGATTGAACCCAGGGCCTCGTGCTTGCTAGGCGAGCACACTACCACTGAGCCACAACCCAGCCCTGGAGTGTTTACTTATGTGGGTACTACTTTAATAAAAAATTTAAAAATATATATGCATTTGAAGAAAGACCTGTTATAAATCTGAAAACAAAGTCAAAGTATATGAAAAGCATTTAATCCAGGCAAGGTGGTGTATGCTTGTAATCCCAACAACCTGAGAGACTGGAGAATTGCAAGTTCAAGACAGTCCTAATAACTTGGTAAGATCCTTAGCAATTTAGAGACCTTGTCTCAAAAATTGAAAAAGGGTTTGGGATGTAGCTCAATGATAAAATGCCTCTGGGTTTAATTCCCAGTACCTCAGAAATAAAACAAAAACAAAAACTCATTTAAACTGATCTAAAAGTTTATAAAGAAAAAAATAAATAAAAGCATGGGTAAGAACAGCCAAGAAAATTTTCATCATTATTATTATTTTTTTTTTAGAGAGAGAGAGAGAGAGAGAGAGAGAGAGAGAGAGAGAGAGAGAGAGTTGTTTTTTAGTTTTCGGTGGACACAACATTTTTTTGTAGTGCCGAGGATCAAACCCAGTGCCCTGTTTGAGCCACATCCCCAGCCCATTACTTTTCATTACTAGTAAAAAGGAATAAAGAGGGACCATCTGTACCAGTTATTAAATTTTACAATAATAGTATATTACTTGATTAATTTTAAAAAGTTTGTATGGTAAATTAACAGTAATTTAAAAAATTGAGAAGGAACATTTAGAGATCATGAAATCTTTCAGAAATTCTGTTTCTCTTTGGAGCATTTGCCTTAACACTTTGGAACATGAATCTTTTCTCTTTGTGGGGCAGTAACAGACACCCTCCACTCCACTGTGTCCTTCCACCTAAACAGTGTGTGATCAAGGGGCTTATCTGGGGGCTGGGACTACAGCTCAGTAGTTGAGCATGTAAGTGCCTAGCCATGTGGGAGGTCCTGGATTCTATCCAGCACCACAAAAAGTTAAAAGAAAAATAAATCTGCTTGTTAAAAAAAGATGTGGGCTGATCTGTTTCACTCCTGGCTAAACAAAGAACTAAGAGACATCTATAAAAGATAAACACCCATATTTGTCACATTGACAACTATTTATAATTGAAACTACCTTTTCTCTCATTATTATAAACTAATGGCTGCTCAGAAATGTGTTCCAATAATACTCAATTTATCACAAACAGGACAGTAAGAGCCTCTTTACACTGATTCTTTTTTCTTTCAATATCATTATATTCAAATTTGTTTGTTTGCTTCTGGCAACCACATATTTCAGACACAGTTTGATTCTTCTTATCCCAACATATGAAGTCAGCTACCTTACATGGAGAACAAGTTTCTTATAGTGGAGATTAGTATGAAAAATATAGTGGTTCCAAAGGCTGCAGCAGGAGGATCGAAAGTTCAAAGCCAGCCTCAGCAACTTAGGAAGACCCTGTCTCAAAATGAAAAATAGCTGTGGATGTGACCCAGTGGTTGAATGTCCTTGGGTTCAACCCCTAGTACCAAAAAAGAAAGACATAAATGTCATTAAGATTTTAAGTTTATATTAACTTTTCAAATTTACCATCCTGATATCAGCCTCTGCTTGTATTATGGTATGATTTTACCCAATAACTTTTTCCTTTACATCTTTCAACTTTCTTTATACTTTTTTGGCATTATACATATGTGCTTAATTATGTTTGGACTCTATTTCACTTATCTTGACCTTCTAATGCTAGAATTTACTATTTTTTGTACAAAATGGCTGTTAATTGTTTGCTGTTGTACGTGTCCAATACAGTGCCCTGAACCTTTCCCTTCCAGAAATGCACATCCAGATGGGATATGACTGCCCTCCCCTGCTCAAGATGTATTCTTTGACTACTGAATTTATAATTGGGAGAAACTATGAAATAAATGCTAACCTCTGAGTGCCTCCCCATCTGCCAAGCACTGTTCTTAGCACTTCACATGCTAGTTATCAAAATGACTATGATAGGTATTTGCCAACTTTAATTGATAAGGAAATGGAAAGACAAAGAGGATGTGACTAAAGTCTTACACTTTTATCTGGAAGTAACTGAACTTTTCCTTTAATCCTCTGGTGATTCATAAGAGCATAAATGTGTCAATAATTAGAGGAATGTTTAATGATATTAAAAGTCCCAAGTAGAGTATTCCTTAGAAATGCGAGCGATCCAGAAATCCTGACATTATAAATTATGACCAGGATAACCAGAGAAATCTTGATTCTAATCATTATACACATACAATATATTCACTTGACCCTGGTCAGAAGGAGGTTGGGTACTTTCACACATCAGGCAATCAATCACATGAATAGTACCCAGGTGATGCTCCAGGAATCTCTTTATACTTCCATGACTAAATGTAATGACAATGTAGGCAGCAGCATGGCTTTGAAGCATATAGTCAAAGATCACAGAACATGTAACTTATAAAAAATAGAGGTGATACCAGTGAGAAAAAGAAAAAGAGGATAAGAAAGACCGAAGTTTGGTATCTTGTTTGGCTCTGAGTTAAGGGGATTTTTATTTATTTATTTATTTTTTGGTACTGGTAATGAACCCAGAGGTGCTTTATCACCGAGCTACATATCCAGTTCTTTTTGAGACAGGGTCTTCTAAGTGGCTAAGACTGGCTTTGAATTTGCAATCTTTCTGCCTCAGCCTCCCAAGTTGTTAGAATCATAAGTGCATGCCAGCATGCCCATTAAATTAAGAGAATTCTTAATAACTAGTTTGATTATAAACACAATGTTCTAAACAGGTAAAACTGGAAAGATCATGGGAGATGTCTAGGATATCCTGCACAAATTTTGTTTTTAATGATTCTCTATTAAAAAATGGTGAATGAGGTTAACGGTGAAGTCTTTTTCTGTTAGCAGTTTTTCTATTAGGTTAAATACATGAATAAAAGGCACCAAGCAAATAGTCATAATTCTTTCAAAACTGGTTCCATTCCTAAATTAGGAGGCTTCATTCCTCTTTGACCCAACAGATCTTGCCATTTTCTCCAAGCTGTACAATTCCACTGGCAACCAGCTGGAGGGCTGCAGGAAATATTTTATGTTCTGCTAATTTTACTCTTTCAGACAAAGTTGCAACAGTGTCACCCCTTTTAACAGGAACAGCTTCTTGTAAAATAATTTGTCCAGCATCTACATCTTCCTGGAAAAGAAAAATCAAAGTTTTAAACCTTACTTTCTAGCCAGCACAGTTTATAGCTAAACACTAATCCTATCACTTTGGTAGAAAAAACACATACTCACAGCTACAAAGTGTACAGTGCATCCAGTAATTGTGACTCCAGCTTCCAGGGCTTGCTCATGAGCATTTGAACCCTTAAAAGAAGGGAGCAAGGAAGGGTGGATGTTCAGCATTTTTCCTAGAAATTAAGAAAGCATAATGGTCAGAATTTTAAAATCCTATGTATTCTGCTAAAAGAATATATATTTTCTTGCCTAGAACCAGAAGTTAATAGGAGCTGGATTTCCAAGAAGGGTGTTTTCTGTGTGTAACATGGAAATAAGGCAAAGGGAAATACAGTTCTTGTCCAAGAAGGCCCTAGCAATAGTCACAGGCTTTGCATAGTCACAGGCATGCTGGGGAACTCTGAACAGGTATCTGCAGTGATGGGGAGCTAGTGGGGATGCGGGGAGGGAAGGTCTAAGCTGGATGGAAGACTTCTAATAGCTATGTGGTGTGCCCACCAGTCAGATGCTGGATTAGTTAGCTTTGTGTGTCTATTATCACCAAAGGAATTGCCCGTTAAATGTACTGACACGAATGTTCTAACTATATTCACCTAAGAAAGCAAACTCTTTGGACAGAAAATTCATTTATTTCCCAAATATGTACACAAAAAAGGAAAACAGGATACAGTCAAAGCTTTGGGTAAAAAAAAGGCAAAGACACAAGATAGTATGTGCTTTTTGGCAACATCTTTTTTGCCATCTTCTGGCAATGGTCTGTGTCTCATAGGAGAGGATGCCTCTTTATTTTGGGATACAGGAAATTACTTTCTCTTCCTTCTAAAACAAGTAAAAAGGGTCTTCTGAATACTAATTTAGAAGATGAAATATTATCTTTCAGTAATCTAGAACAAAACTAAACTATATTATAAAGAGTAATTTATTATAGTAATCCTAAGAAATTGATAGAAAACAGGTTAATAAATCATCATTGGGTCATCTTTTGGACTAAAGCAAAGGAAATTAAGACCTGTGTTAAGTAAAATGTCACAGTATTTCACTACTGCATGCTAAGTTGACTATTCTGGAGTCCATCTGCACTAGATTTCTCAATCAATACTGAACAACTTTTGCTTACCATCCCATTTTTTGACAAAGGGGCCAGAGAGAATTCTCATGAAGCCTGCAAGACAGACTATGTCTGTGGAGAACTCTTCAAGGACTTTGTCAATTGCATTGTCAAATTCTATCCGATTTTTATATAATTTATGATTAATTACCTGTAATAGAAAAAGATAAATACAACTTTTCCAATCAGTTACCCAAAATAATCTAAAACATAACCTTTACATTACCACACTACACCTCCTTATGAGGACATACCCAATGGAGAATTACTGAGCAATTCACAGGATCAAGTGGAAAGGGGAGCCCAGCACCCACCCAAAAGCAGAAATCTAAAGGCCATGTAAACCACAGAGATACGGGTCCTGTGAGAACTGATTATGAGGTTTAAGTATAGCCTATGTGGTTGAGTGAGAGTTTAACTCTGTAGATATCATGCTTAACATGCATAAGGCTGTGGGTTGAATTTCCCAGCACCCCCAAAATCAATCAAACAAACAAAAATAGCCCACAGGACTAGTACTTTTCCCAAGAACTTACTCTGGTTGGGATACCAGCTTTTTCTGCCTTATCTAAACCAGCCACTGCGGCTTTATTGGAGATAACAACAACAATGTGTGCGTAGCTATTTGGATCCTGAGTACTGTCTATGAGTGCTTGGAGGTTCGATCCTGAAAAGGGAGGGAAAAACAAAGTGAATTCTTCTTAAAAAAAAAAAAAGATATGTTCTACACTGAATAGGGAATGGTTAAGTTCTCTGAAAACATGTCTTACACACATACACACACACAAAACAAAACAAAAACCAAAATAATATTTACAAGCATGTTCATAATAATGTTAACTATAAGAGAGGTAAATAATCATGTTATACCCATCTGAGAATACAATACTCTTATTTGACCCCTTATCCACAAAGGTCAAACATAAACTTCTTATTCTTAATACTAATATTTTAAGACTTTCCAATGACAAAACTATGATACAAAAAAGAAGTTGGAATTTTTAATCCTTTCTATCTTTTCTAGTCTTTCTCTAACCATCTTTCTCACGTCCTCTACTTTTTGCTTAGGGAGTTGTCCAAATTCACAAGTGGGAAGACTAAGGAAGCTGAAATGATAGCACTCCTTAATAATTCCCTCTCTCCCAGACTGTGCTAATAGTAGCCTTACAATCTGAAAGAGGTTTCTTTGTGTTGGTTGGGTGGTCAGGGAGGAAGAGAAGAGCTCTAGAGCTCAACATTGGAGAGGAAGCCATGTCTTACCTGTTCCAGATATTAAGACAGCCACTCTTGCCTTTTTTGGTTGGGCAGAGAAGTGATTTTTCAAGGAGCCGTTCACTGACACTGACTTGCTCATTTGCATGGTTTCGAGCAGATTCTTGACTTTCACACGAGGGGAACCTTCATTACAAATACACCCCAAAATAAGTAAAGAACAATTGTGTAGTTACAGGAATAATGGAAAGAAAAAAATATTTTTAGAATATCTTTATTTTTATGTGGTGCTGAGGATTGAACCCAGGGCCTCACACGTGCTAGGCAAGCACTCTACTGCTGAGCCAAAACCCTAGCTCTAGGAAAGAAAAATCTTTAGAATACTTTAATTTATTTTGAAAATAAGATATGCAAGGACTAAAACATTTAACAGGTTTGTAACACTTAATATTACGCATTTACAAAAACTTCCCGAAGGTAAACATGTGTAATCATCTACTTCAACTAGGAGTTCTAAACACATCACTACTTTGGAGCATATGGTGGATATATTACTGCCTGCCAATGTTCTGCTTCTAATCCCCAAATCTTCCTAGTGAGACCATTCAGGATAATGCCATGACTTCTTGGCCTTTGTGGAAGGTATGTGGCCTAGCAAGGTCACTCTAAGATGTGATATAGAATGATAAAAGCAAGAGGGCTTTTTGTTGTCAAAAGAGCCAAAGAATGTTATCTTTCTAGTAAGAGAACCTGCCAAAAAGTGAAACTTATAAAACAGAGGAAAGAAAGGTCGACAGAAGCAAGGTTAACAAGCTCTAACATCATTATTACTATTTTACTGGATTTTCTGCCACTCTAAAGTTCTAGTAAGAGTCTTGAATAACAAACAGTATTAGCCAGGGCATTCACTCATTAGTTCTTGAATTTTGAACCACAAAGCAGAGCCATAAGGGCTTACATGTAGGAAGATTCCTTTGGGAAGTGATACTGCAGGGTTCTGTTGTGCACATGGGAATGCTACACAGAGGTGTCAAGAGTCTCAAGGTGAAAATTAAGAGGCATGTGCTATCACTGGGGTGGGTGCTGTCATGATACACCTGGGTAAAGACAGATGCCATAGCAATGGCTGGAATGAAAGGTGGGCTAAAAACTCATGAGACAGGGCTTAGTTATATTTAAGGTTATATGTCTAAAACCAAAGAAGGAGTTACCTTCAGGACATGCAACCACACTGCCAATCACCCAGGCTTCTTCCTGGCACTGTTGAATATCATTTAGAATCTGCCCTGTCTGATCCTTTGATACCACAAGGACAGCTCCAATACCACAGTTGAATGTTCTGGCCATCTCTTCTTCAGAGAGCTGTCCTTCCTGCTGTAACCATGAGAAGACCCTGGGGATCCTCCATGTCTGGGCATCTGAAAACCAGCAAGTTGTATGATTAACTGATAGCTCTGTTATTTTTTATCAAGTAAAACTATAAACTGGCCTTTCAGAAGTTTTTGTGTTTTGGGCATCCATTTATACTTTAGACATTCATAGCACTTTTTAAAAAAATATTTATTTTTTAGTCATCGATAGATACAATATCTTTATTTTATTTTTATGTGGTACTGGGGATCGAACCCAGTGCCTCACTAATGGTAGGCGAGTGGTGAGTGCTCTACCTCTGAGCCACAACCCCAGCCCTCATAGCACTTTTTTTTTGAAACAGTTGGCCAACAATCACACTTCAATGAGGTTTTATGCTGCATTAACTCATTAGATTTTAAAAAGCCATTTTAATGGGTTGGATTGATAGTAGCTGAATTCCAGTAGAGACTGGCATACTGTTCTCTAGTGAATACTTAGCTGGATCTTTTTTCTTCTTCTTTTAAATGCATTTTTTTTTTAAAGTTGTAGATGGGCACAATATCTTTATTTTATTTATTTATTTATGTGGTGCTCAGGTTTGAACCTAGTGTCTCACATGTGCTAGGCAAGCGCTCTACCACTGAGCCACAACTCCAGCCCATTAGTTGGATCTTAGCAATGACAAAAATGCACTCTAAGTATCATAAAAAAGTAGATGGCTTATACACAGACTTAAAGGAAATATATACATCATTTGAGAAAAGTCATGCTACAGAAAAGGATTATGATCAACACCCTGAATCTCATTTATTTTAAAATTTATATTCTTGGGTCTGCTATAAGAATATATCGTGCAGGGGGCTGGGGATGTGGCTCAAGCGGTAGCGCGCTCGCCTGGCATGCGTGCGGCCCGGGTTCGATCCTCAGCACCACATACAAACAAAGATGTTGTGCCCACCGATAACTAAAAAATAAATATTAAAAAAAAAAAAAAAAAGAATATATCGTGCATTATCACAAATCATACAACAAAAATCTCTAGTAAAAATTTTAGGCCTACATACAAAACTTCTGAATAATGAAATAATTTGGTTGGTTTTTTTGAGTCTACAGTTATGGGATCTGATTTCCCAAAACAATACTGAATAAAATTATTTATGATGCTCCTATAAAAAGGAATATAGCTTTTTATTAAATAATGAGGTTTACTATCATCTTCCCCCATTTATTTGATATATCTACAGGATACTTGGTTTTAATTCTATGGAGTTATTTTGTAATATGCATTGTATGTCTATGAATCTTCTCCCGTACTGGACTTAATTACATTTATATTAGTTAGGAATGTCAAATTTATTATTTTTTTTTGGCTACCTGGGATTGAACTCAGGGGCACTTGATCACTGAGTCACATTTCCAGCCTTAATTTGTGTTTTATTTAGAGACAGGGTCTCACCAAGTTGCTTAGCACCGTGCTTTTGCTGAGGCTGGCTTTGAACTCTCAATCTTCCTGTCTCAGCCTCAGGAGCCACTGGGATTACATGCAATGCACCACTGCGCCCAGCTGGAATGTCAATTCTTAAAAGTTAAGTTCAAAAGATTTTAGCTACCATGATGTTCACTATGCCTTCAATAGTGAACCCAATAGCAGTGGGGTGCAGTGGTGCATTCCCATAATCCTATCAACTGAGAACATCAAGGCTCAAGTTTGATGCCAGCCTTAGTACCTTAGAGGGACCCTGTCTCAAAATAAAATAAGAGGGCTGGGAATGTAGCTCAGTGATAGAGTACTGCCTAACATACACAAGGCCTTGGGTTTAATCTCCAGTACTGCACCAAAAAATCCTTGGGATTGATGACCATACTTCACGTGGTTTAGCTCCTACTTCTAACAGTTCTTTTCAGTAATTCTTCCTCTGAGGGATAATTTTTGGTCCTTTCCACTCTCTTGGCTGTAACTATAGCTTTGTGAGTACAACCTCCAGACTTATCTTTGGTCTGATCTCAACTTTTGCTCAGTTGCCTTGGAAGAGATTCACTGAAGATCTTAAGCACTATATCCTCACTTTCTGCTCTGCTCCACTACTCTCCGTTCTGTGTTAGTGATGTTGCCATCTACTCACCTGCTTAACTAAGATCTTGAGACTTTTTTTTTCTAGGCAAGAATTAATTCTCAAATGTTTTTCCCTTTTTTATTCCCTAGTTCTTTCATCTCTAGTGTGGACTACTTCACAGTTATTACTTCCTTTCCTGGCATGTAGGGCTCCAGCTTATAGCACTTCAATCCTTATATAAGCCAGTGACATGACTCATAAACATGGATAATAAAAAAAGGTAGAAAAGGTTCATCCCAGTTTCCCCCCATGAAACCTTAATGATTAACAAGTTTCCACTTATAATCATATGTGCACTAACTACCTGGAGTTTGTCCCACAGTGTATTCCCCACCCCCCAGTGGTTTTTTTGAACAAAAGTTCCCTTCAGTAAACTTACCTAAATCCACCCCAAATTTCTGAGGGAGAACTCTGGGAATGTTTTCCAGTAGTCCTCCACCAGTAATATGAGCAAAGGCTTTAACATGTCCTGAACGTATGACAGGTAACAAAGAACGGCTGTAGATTTTGGTTGGAGTTAGAAGTAAGTCCCCTGAAGATTAAAGAAATAAGACAAAAACAGCCTATAGGTAAAAAACCAAAACATAAAACAATTCTGAAATGGACAATGAGTATGACCTTGCAAAGACATACCAGTTCTATAAGATGCCCAAGCAACAAAATCACAGGATAATGTAAATCACAGGGCAATGTAATTCATTCCATTCTAGCTTTCAGTAATGAGACACAAAACACACTAATTGACTACTTAGTTATATCCAAGCACGAATTAATTTACCTAAGGACTGGTCACCACAACCATCAGGTGCTGGAGAGGAGTACTGCAGGGAAGAGTTTGCCACAATTTTCCTCACAAGGCTAAATCCATTGCTGTGGAGACCAGATGAAGCTATTCCAACAATAACATCCCCTTCAGTGATCCTTTCCAGGTGAGGCAGTTTCTGATCCCGCTCCATAGCACCAACAGCAAAACCAGCTAGATCATACTCTCCAGGAGGATACATGTCGGGCATTTCTGCTGTTTCACCTCCTGGGAGATTAAGGCAAGAGAGAAAAAAAATCACATTATATTTATACATTTCCTTAGGAGACAATGACAGCAAATATTCTTTTTTTTTTTTAACCTTTATTTCACATGCGAGGTGAGCGCTCTACAGCTAAGCCACAACCCCAGCCCCTCTTTTTTTTTAATTAGCTCCAATCAACAATCAACTCTCTCTCTCTCTTTTTGAGTTGTAGTTGGACACAATACCTTTATTTATTTATTTATGTGGTGCTGAGTGCCTCCCATGTGCTAGGCAAGCTCACTACAACTGAGCCACAACCCCAGACCCAACAGCAAATCTTCTTAACACGAACCGTTAAACACATGGTTATATCCTGTATATAACCACATATATTAGCTGGCTCACAGCATGTGCAACCAAGCATGATTTCAGAGGAAATACTAATTTCTACAAAGGTCAATACCTCTACAAGTCTGTATGTAGCCTCTAAATATCACTACTTTCATAGGATGAATGCTAAGTTGAATATAACTTCATTTCTATATCAGTTTAGCTTAAGAAATATTTCATAGACATCTGATCTTTAAAATCACTCCATCTATACCATCGTCTAGTTAATGGAGAAGTAATTTTAACCAAGAGTGCCTCAACTCCAAATGCCCTGGCCTATAAAGTTTAATAGTGCAATTTATGATGATCTCATATGAAAGTAGAGGCAAGCAGATGCCAAATTAGTTAAAGGGCAATTTTTTGGCTTTTGGATCTGACTTGTTCACAGAAATGATAATATGAAAGTGGTTATTTCATTCTTGTTCACTTACAAATTAATTTTGCTAGAAAGTCCATATAGATAGCAGTATTTCTACAAAATCTGGGAACATTTTATTCTTTGTCACTTCTATGAACAAATATGGTTTGAAATATTGAATACCAAGACCCATCTACCTTTCTGTGGGGACAATAAATGGGAATAATCCACAAGCCTAATCTGTTGAAGTTATTGAGAAGGAAGTAGAAGAAAAAGTGGCCAGAGGTTGGGGAGAAAAATAAGCCTGCCTGACAACTCAGGAGTTTTGAGTTTGGGGAATAAACCCTCAAGGGGGCATTGAGGGCACCAGAATCCAAGAGTAATTCCAACAGTTGTATCTATATTTCATTTGTCACATCCTGTGATATAGAGTCTCTTTCACTAGCTATTCTGACATTGATTCTGACATCTATACAGGGCTGATATATAAGAAGAAGGAGCACCTATGGTTAAAATGTATGATCAGGATCTGGGAGGTATAACTCAGTGGTGGAGTGTTTGCCTAGCATGTGTGAGGTGCTAAGTTCAATCTCCAGCACTGCAAAAAAAAAAAAAAAAAAAAAAAGTGTTAAAATGGATGATCATACCAAGGAGAGCACATCCAGCCTGTTCACAAGCTGTAGCAATTCCGGCAATGACGGCTTCAGACATATTAAGGTCAAGCTTTCCACAGGAGAAGTAATCAAGGAAGAAGAGGGGCTCTGCTCCTTGTGCCAGAATATCATTTACACACATTGCAACCAAATCTTGACCAATTGTATTGTGTTTATTGCACAGCTGGGCAATCTATAAAAAACAAACATTCACATTTCACATCAGAGAATAACTGCCATACTGCATCTTGTCGATTTATCCATGAGGCTAACAAAAACCAATGACATTGGCCAGATACTCTTAACATCTCAAGACAAAATAACACTAAATTTTGATAAGCAATGTGGTCTAAAACTATCCCTTTTTATTTCCTAAAATTGCCCTTCCACTCAAAGATAGACAGAACAATATTTTGTTGTTGGAAATGTACAAACATTTTATTCATATGGTTTTTTGGTATAGTTCTTTTTAGCTCATGTATGTCTAAAGAGAAAAAAATATGTTTTTGATATGCAGTAAATTCTCTCATCTTTCACAAAAGATCTTTATACACAACAGTGTCTACCTTGAGTTTAGTTCCAACACCATCAGTTCCAGAGGCCAGAAGAGGATCTTTGAAACCAGCTGCTTTCAAATCAAAAAGACCAGCAAAACCTCCAAGATCTACATCACAGCCTATTGCAGAGGACATTAATTACTTATTGCATTATGACAGATCAATTAAACATGAATATTCATGCTGCTACTTCTAAAACAGCTGCCTGGAAACAGAGAATGGGATGGAGCACCATGTGCTCCAAGAACTGATCAAGAAAGTAATAACATTGGGAGAAAAGGCCTCGAAAGTATGATCTAATTAAATGATTTCAAAGAGTTTGTAATAATAAAAAAAGGAAGATATAAAGAAATAAAAGTAAATAACATCACAGAAGTGATTTACTTAATATTAGAGACAGAAAGGCAGATAAATCAGATGTGGTGGTGCAAACCTCTAATCCTAGCAATTTGGGAGGCTGAGAGACCCTAAGTAACTTAGAAAGACCCTGTCTCAAAATAAAAAAGGGTGGGGATAGAGCTCAGTGGTAAAGTACCACTGGGTTCAATCCCCAGTACCTAAGTAAATAAATAAACAAAAACAAAAAGGAAGGTAGCTGACTATGGGTTTAGCTTAAGTACGGCAAGATTTAAAGGAATCTAGCATTTATTTTAAATATAAAGCCCCATTTTTTAAAATTATTTTCCTTCTTGAAGTTTTTTTTTTTTTTTTTAAAAAAGCCCAAATTAATTCACACCTGTCAATAAATTAGCAAGTACAGGATTTGACTTACCTGGTCTGGAGGTGGCTTTTGCTAAAGGCTTTATTTTCTTAACCAGCATATTTCCAGCTGCAATGTCTACCCCAGATCCCTTGTAAGTGAAGCCCCTAAGAAATTGGAAACAATAATAATCAAAACATCACCTTAATGCCAGGAAAAATTACTTTTATAGTAGAAAATAGTATTTAAAGCAGAAATTATCCCAAGTGATTTTCACATTCCTTAGGGTGCTTAAAATCTTCCATAGTCAATGCCTAGCCATATAAATGGATTTGACTGATCTAGTTTAGTGTAGCCCTGGAAAATGAAATGTTTACACAATTTCCTTAGTTGACTCCATAGCATCATCTCTGCTGTGAACCATCGCTCTAACTTCATCACCCATTTCTTCCAGAAGTACTTTTTACAGGCTGCTAAATATCTTGATTCTTTGAAAATTTTTGATGTAATATACACATAACAAAATTTACCATCTTAACCATTTTTAAGTGTATAGTGGTAGTAAATATTCATAATGTTGTACAACCATCACTGCCATCCACCTCTATTTACTTTCATCTTGTGAAATTGAAACTATCCATTACACAGCAACTTGCTAGCTCTTAAATTCACTGATATTTTGCTACAACCTTTCTTGGTTCAACTTCAGTATGGGCAATGTCAGAACCAAGTCAAAAAGTGAAATTTGACAATCCTTCGCGCCCTTCCTTTCCAACTTGGGCCTGGCAGAATGGCTCCCGGAAAGAAGGGTGGTGAGAAGAAGGGCCGTTCTGCCATCAACGAGGTCGTTACCTTGGGAATACACCATCAACATTCACAAGAGTATCCATGGAGTGGGCTTCAATATCTCTCTGAGAGTAAATTTGGGCTGCTGACTTTGAATTAATTGCCAGTTCTCTCAATTTTAGTTGTTACCCTGGCAGCTTGTTTCTGATAAACTCTTACATACTTCTTCATCTATCATTCCAACCCATTAAACCAAAGTTTTTTGTTTTGGGGTTTTTTTCTTTCTTATTGGTACCGGGGATTCAACTCAGAGGCACTTAACCACTGAGCCACATCCCCAGCCCTATTTTGTATTTTATTTAGAGACAGGGTCTCATTGAGTTGCTTAGTGCCTCGCTTTTGCAGAGGCTGGCTTTAAACTCTGGATCATCCTGCCTCAGCCTCTGGAGCTTCTGGGATTATAGGCATGCATCACCATGCCCATTGAAAGTTCTCATTTTTACAAGGCAGAACTACAGATTTCACAATGCAGATGCACAAACTTGATCTGTAAAAATGATGCACTGAGTATCATTATCTGGTTATGCTTTTTAAATAGGTTTAATCTTGTTCTTACTATCCTCAACTATAAAGAAATTGATATGGTTACATTAAGAACTCAGTTTGGTTATTCACGAATATTTATGTAGAGTTTATGTAACCCTAATTTTTACTTTTTTCTTTTGTGGTGTTGGGATATTGCTAAACTTTTCAGATAAGGAACCACCATGAAGTTTTTCCACTTAATTTGAACATTGCTGTAAACGGACATGATTCAAAAAACATAGACCAAGAATAAAGAATAGCTCAGTCTCAGAGAAAAAATGATATAACAGTACAGGAGTAACAGAATGTTCTACAATCACTCAGTGTAGTTCTGAAGTCGTACCATAACTACCTCATAAGATTTTTACCTGGGCTGCTGAAGGAAAGCTATGGCGCGAAAGCCGATGTCTTTCCTGTAAATTGCTCCCTCAAACTTTATAGCAGTGAGTCCCTTCTTGGCTTTTTCAAGGGCAGATATGAGGTTTTCATGAATGGCTGTTACTGTAAGGACTCTTCCCCCGCTGGTCACCACTCTGCCATTTTTGTAGGTAGTGCCTGCATGGAACACTTCTAGTCCTAAAGCTGTAGTCTCAGAAAACCCTGTAAGAGAACAGATTTGATGCAGGATTTCAAATTACCATATTTCACACTGTGGAGTGATTTACCATTTCCACAAGGTTTTTCTTTGGTACTGGGATTGAATAGTCGTGGTGGTGATGGTGGGGAAGAAGCCACATCCCCAGCCTGGATTTTTAAATTTTTATTTTGAGATAGGGTCTTGCTAAGTTGCTGAGGCTGGCTTTGAACTTGTGATCCTCCTGCTTCAGCCTCCAGAGCCACTAGTATTACAGGCGGGCACCACTGTATTCAACTACTACTTCTTTGTTTAAATTTCTATCAGGCAATTTCTCCCCAAAACAGTCTGTGCCATTTACATTGATGACTAACTGTAAATTATGGGGTCAAACCACTCAAGGTTGTATGCCTCTTGTAATCATTCAGAGACCATGTCTTAAATATATCTTGTTGATGTAGTTTACATTAACGGTCCTGTAACTTTCCTATGTCTCATTAACACCCTGACTTTCGGAGGGTGGAAGTGAAAGCTTACACTGGGAATACTGTGGAAATTTGGTTGGATTACGTATGTTTCCTTATATGGGAAGACAAATAGATGGCAGTTCTTTAAATAGTCATTTTGGATAATTTATGACATATCCAACTAGCAATGTAGTATGTTAAAAACTTTTGAAAGGTTTCTGATGGCTTCACACTCTTAGCAAGGGCAAGCATTTGCATGGGAGGGAGGTCCCTGATGGCACCAGTTAATTATCACATTGAAATTCAACCTCTTATTCCTTATTCACCTGTTACCTCCACACCCTTGGTGTAAGCTCCAGGATAACCTTTACTTGCCATGACCACAGTTATGGCAGTGTGGTTTTCTAGCCAAATGGGTAAAGATGTGCACAGCAGGCCATCTAAGGTGGACTGAATTACTTCATAAAGATCACTTTTAAGAAGTGGGAGGATTACCTGGAAAAACACAATTAACATGGAAAATGAGATAAATTTTAATTTTCTTTATAGACATTTTATTCATTGGGGTATTAGCAGAGCTTGTATGTGTTTCTCAAAGGTAATTATTTCAAGGCTGAAAAAATCCTGAGATTAGGACAACATACAACCTCGCCAAAGAAATACTTTATTAAGTTTAATGACTGTTACTTACTTGGCACTCTGGATCACCAAAACGGCAATTAAATTCCAAAACTTTTGGGCCATCCTTGGTCAGCATTATGCCAGCATAAAGAATCCCTTCATTAAAAAAGAAAATCCCTTTATTAAAAAAGAACCTGTAACGAAGACATTATTATCACTATAAAATAGAAAATAAACAGCTGCTCTATAAATGATGTCAATATCAAGAAGCTCACCTGTGTATGGAGTACCCTCTTGCTGCATGCCATCTACTGTCCTCTGAAGGACAGTATTTTTAATTTTTAGTAACAGATCCTCAGAAACCTGGGGAATATACAGAAATTTTTAACGATAAATGTTATGTTAAAAATTCAACTTGTAAGCGGTATCACATACAACAATGAAGACTATTATTTTTTTACTACCTGAGACAGGTTGAACACCTCCCCATCAAGTAGATATTTTAGACTTTTTTTTTTGTGGTGCTGGGGATTGAATCCAGGACCTCGTGCATGTGAGGCAAGCACTCTACCAATGAGCTATATCCTCAACCCCTATTTTAGACTTATTTTTGCAGAACAGGAGAGTAAAAGCTCTGAGTCTGATAAATTATCACAATCAGAGGCTACATTATATGTTCCTTGCCAAATCAAAGATCAGTGCTAACCACCATTTCTAAGTAAAGTAACTTGTTAAAGCACCTTTCATTTTTATTATTTTTTTTGTGGTATTCCTAAAAACAGTCTGTGCCATTTTACATGATGACTAATATTTACGACCTAATAGTGCCTTACCACAGAGCTACATTCTTAACCCTTTTTATTTTATTTTGAGATAGGGTCTCGCTAAGTTGCTGAAGCTGGTCTCAAATTTGTGATCCTATTGCAAGTCACTGGTATTACAGGCTTTTGCCACCATGCTTGGTTCAGTGTGTATATTTTTGAAGCTCTATAGTTCAATAATGAAAAACGAAGTTGGGCATGGTGGCATATGCCTGTAATCCCCACTCCTTGAGAGGCTAAGGCAGTAGGCAGTAGTTCAGACCAGCCTGGGCAACTTATTGAGGCTCTGTCTCACAATAAGAAACAAATGGTATGGGGACATAACTCAGTGGTAGGGAGCCACTGAGTTTAATCCCAGTATCACCAAAACAACCTACACACACACATCCTGTGTATGTGCTGGGGCCTGGATATCCAGAGATGAAAAATTTTACACTATAATTACAAGGCTCCCATTGGTTAAAAATTGGGTGTAGAGAGGAGGGGAAAGAAGGATCTACTCACTACATTTTAGATAAGTTAAAAAATCATTGGGCCGGACATGGTGGTGCATGCCTGTAATCCCAGTGGCTCGGGAGGCCAAGACATGAAGATCATGGGTTCAAAGCCAGCCTCAGCAAAAGCGAGGTGCTAAGCAATTCGGTGAGATCCTGTCTCTAAATAAAAAATACAAAATAGGGCTGGGGATGTAGCTAAGTGGTCGAATGTCCCTGAATTCAATCCCTTGTGCAAAAAAATCAAATCGGCAATTTTTGTTCTTCAAAGGCTTTTAGAAGAGTTTAGTTTTAGAAACCAGAAAAGATATTTTTAATTTAATAAAAAGAAATAAAGTGAGGCATGGTGTCATGTGCCTGCAATTCCAGCTCTTGGGAGGCTAAGGCAGGAGGATCTTAAGTTGAAGGCCAACCTGGGAACATGGTCTCAAAACAAGACAACAACAAAATAATCAAATTGCTGATTAGTAACAGAATTTACAAAAACATATGAAAGAAAGAAGTCAAAACAGAACAGCATCATCTAAAAGCTCTCTGAAAAGCCCAAACAATTACTGTTGAACTTGAGTCCCTGGGAAGTACCTGAGGTGTGGGACAATAGGCTCCCATTCCCCCTGTGTTGGGGCCTTGATCTCCCTCCAGTAATCGTTTATGGTCCTGTGCTGGAGGCATGGGGGCCACTGTCCTCCCATCAGTGAAACACAGACACTACGGAGAAAAAAAAATAGTCCACTTAAGTAAATGCCAAAAAAGGTTAAAAAAAAAAAAACCTAAGAAGGTGAGTTATGTACCTCAACTCTTCTTTGCATAAAATTATTTCTGAAGAAAAATTAATGCATAAATAATTCCAAACTATAGAAAATCTCATATAGTCAGCTTCTAGAAGATATGTAATTTTTTAGATAAATCAGGGGAAAAAAAAGCTACTCTCCAAGTAAAATATCTTAACCCTTTTCCCTTGAAATTTGCAAGCATTAAAACTCTACTTAAGGGAACACATTTCACTACTTACTGTATAATAAAATGTATGTAAAAGAAAAAGCATGAATGTTTGAATAAATCCAGAACCTGAATAATGTGAAATATAAATCCAAGGACCACCACTGAGACACTGGAGATGATTTTAAAAAGATAAATTATTTTTTCATTTGTATCCCGAATACTAAACATACACAGATTCCTTTTTATCTGAACAAGTTATAGTATTAGGTGCAACAACCAGATTAATCAAGTCTTTCTTGGGTACACTGATCAGATAACATCTTTTTATATGCTATAAATCCCAAAAAAGATGAATATACGTACAGACACCTCTTCTCCTTCAAGAAGTTCTTCAACAACAATTGTTTCTCCAGCTGCTCCAAAAGCTTTATCCTAAATTATAGGTTAAACAAAAAACCAAAATAAAAACAAACAAACAAAAAACAACTTGGTAAATTATAAGCTTTTAGTATTTACTTGATTTTTGTCATTGCACCATTTGTATTACAAATCATACTATGTATTATATCAATATGTGATTTTTTCTTTTCCTTTCTGAAAGACTCAAAAGAATGTTTGAGTGTTTCCTATTTTTAACGTGACAAAGATGTGGAATGCACATTGCTACAGATGAACTGCACAACAAACACATTACCAATACTTACCTGAGGATTTGGTTTTTTATTTGGAACAGAGGAAAAGCAGTTGTTTTCATTATCACCATTTAATCTTCATCTTAATTATAACTGTATATGTTTGCCTATATACTATATTCTAAATGCCTACAAAAGCTTTCTCTAAGGGGGTAAAATCAAAACAACCCAGATGGATCACGAAAGAAAAACGTATATTCATTGCTCCATTTCTCTTAGAATTGGGACACGCGGGATAAAGACGATAGTCCTCATGGATGATTTGAGATATATATGTTCTATAGACTGAGGATTTTCTACCTTTCAGTAGCAGAAAATAAAGGATGTTAGAACTTACTTCAACAGAATGAGTTATGGTTTAATTATTAGTGTGGATCTGTAAGAACTATTCTATAAAAATGAATTATAATACATAGTATGATAAAAAATAACTTCGCTGTGTTTTCCTTCTCTTTGTTTGTGGAGGTGTGAGGTGTATTGGAAACTGAATCCAGGGCCTTGCTCATGGTAGGTATCCACTATCACTGAGCCATGTTCCCAGCCTCAGAGTTTCCTTATTTTGAGGTACATATTGTAATCTTTTTTTTTTCCAACTTAAAAAAAAATATTTTTGTTGTAGATGGACACAATACCTTTATTTTATTTACTATTTATTTTTATGCGGGGCTTAGGATTAAACCCAGTGCCTCACACATCCTAGGCAAGGGTTCTATCACTGAGGCACGATCATAGCCCCAACATTTTATAACTTAAGAGTATTTATCTGGTATGAATAGAAAAGGAAACTTTCAGAAGAACCAATTTACCTGCATGATCTCCTGTACAGCTTTGCAGGCTTCCTCTTTGCTCTTTGCAACAATCACTCCTTTCCCAGCTGCAAGACCACTGGCCTTCACAACCAAAGCAGGGAAGTCCGCACTACAAAGCAGAGCAATCTTCAATATCCCATAAATGCTTATAACTCAACATTTAAAAATGTTTTAGGATTCTATAATAATATACTGTAGCATCAACTGAAAAGCAGAAAAAAAATCACTTATCATTCTAAAGTCATCTTGACATACTTCCTGCCAGGACTTTTTTCATAAGCATTCCTTTATAGCTGTGATCATAGACTATATCTATCTATCTATCTATTCTTTTTTTCACTTACAGTGAGATCACACAGGCAAAATCTCTGGAGGAATAAGCAGATGCATAGAGTAGACATGAAATGATCTTTAAGACAGAAAGTAGTGAATCTCATTTAAGTAAAAGATGTGGCTGTATAAACCAACAAAATCATGGACACAGAAAATTTTTGGAAGCCAAGACAAGTAATCATGGAATGGGACTGGGTCTAGAAGAAGGGTTACCCAAAGTAAGTAAAGTAAGTAACAAAACTGTTACTGATACCCAAGGCATCTGCCTCCATTTTAGATTTCACTCAGTATTAGACCCGATTTACCTAATTACACTGACTACCTAACTTTAAATCTGGCTTCACTACTAGGAAATATTAATATTCAGTGTCTAAGAAACCCTGTAAGATGAAGAATGAATAAAGAATGAACTTGACCCAAATGAAAGGAAAACATATTCGGTAGTAGACAATGTCAACAAAAAGAGGGCAAAGATTTGCCTGATGACATTAACTCATTTTCAATGTTTTCTTTTTCTTCTTCTTCTTTTAATATTTATTTTTTAGGTGTAGATGGACACAACACAATGCCTTTATTTTTATGTGGTGCTGAGGATCCAACCCTGGTCCCGCCCATGCTAGGCAAGCACTCTACCGCTGAGCCACAATCCCAACTCAATCAATGTTTTCCATATATAAGAGAACAAAGAATGTTTAATTTTAAGATTAGGATGGAGCAGTGGTGGCAGACGACCAAGTGATGATTCTTCACTTTGGTTAATTATTTATGAAAAAAATCAAGAACATTTATGTTATAAGATACCTCTGTGCTTTTCAGTTGGTTGTGAAAAGAGTGCATGACTTAACAAAACTAAGCATATTTTCCCTCCCAGGAACTACTCAGTAATAATTATTAAAATTTCATCTTTCTATAATGTCACAGATTTTATAATCTTATTTTGGTATTGGAAAAATTTGGTATTGGAAAAAAGTAACTTACCTAACATTTATTGAAAATATGTTCCTTCCTTCCTTCCTCCCCACGCCCTCTTCCTTCTTTGTGGTGTCAGGGATTGAACCCAAGGATTTGCACATGCTAGGCAAGTGTTATACCACTGAGCTACCTCCTCAGCTACAAATAATTTCTTTTATAATTATTTTATTATAAACTCATGATAGCCTAAGAACCAACCATTATATTTCAACATAAAAGTGATTTTATATGTAAATATCCTAATTCAACAACTCCCCTTCATAGGCAGCCTTCTACCTACCTCATAATGAAGCTACAGGCCTCTTCAGGTTTGGTGAAAGCTCTCCATTGTGCAGTTGGGATTCTGTGTCGGTCCATAAACTCTTTGGCAAATCTTTTGCTGGATTCTAACTGAGCTGCTTCTGCTGTGGGGCCAAAACATCGCACTCCTGCAGAGGTCAGGTCCCCAACAATTCCTATCAAAGCAGAAAGTCAGTTAGGGGACCAAAGATCTCTCTTTTGAACTTTTAGACTGAATACGAATTAGGATTAGACCAAATAACTTTATACAAGGCAGGTAGATAACTGGTGGCAGAGGATAACTAAGTTTTTCATATTGTCTACTACTTATAAACAATAGGCCACTAAGAGGTGATTCAAATCCAGCAGAAAAACCAGGCATGTTAGCACGCGCCTATAGTCCCAGTCACTGGGAAGGCTGGGGTAGGAGGATCACTTAAGCCCATAAGTTTGAAACTGACCTGGTCAACACTTTAAGAGAAAAAGAAAAAGGAAAAAAAAAAAAAGAGTAGGGCACAGTGGGGTGCATACCTGTAATCCTAGCACCCCAGCAACTCAGGAGGCTAAGGCATGAGGAAAGCAAGTTCGAAGCCAGCCTCAGGAGCTTAGCAAGTCCCTAGGCAACTTAATGAGATCCTGTCTCAAAATAAAAAATACGTAGGGCTAGGGATGTGGCTCAGTGGTATAGTACCTTTGGGTTCAATCCCCAGAACCGAAAAACAAAAACAAAACAGCAAAATTTGTTGTATTTGAATATATGGATTATTAAATAGACACCAGAATAGATCAACGATATATAAAATGTTTCTCATGATTACAAATTGGATCCCTACCTCATTATTGACATTTGGGAAAAGAAAAATCTAGAATCCATAAATTTCAAGACCAAAGTTCTTTTTCTACTATTAAAAGTCCTTATCTGTAACAGATACAACATCTCACCTCTAGAGGTCAGATTCTGGTTATTTGCCTTTTTAATAAATACAAATGAAACTTACCAGCAGCCAGAGGTGCCTCTGGTCCAACAACTACAAATTCAATTTTCTCATCTTTGCAGAATTGAGCAAGGGCAGTATGATCAGTGATCGAGATGTCTATGAAAAGAAAACACAAACACACATTTATGAAAACACTTTTTCAGTTAACTAAGTCCTGTACTTAGTAAACTACTTTTAACTAAACATTAAGTACTATATTTCAGGCTATTAAGTGTGGTTTTCTTCTTCTTTTTTGGTACCAGGGATTGAACTGAGGGCATTCAACAACTGAGCCACATCCCAGCCCTATTTTGTATTTTATTTAGAGACAGGGTCTCACTGAGTTGCTTAGCGCCTTGCCTCACTGTTGCTGAGACTGTCTTTGAACTCGCGATTCTTCTGTTTCAGCCTCCCTAGCTGCTAGGATTATAGGCCTCTGCCCCCCTTTTTCAAATATTTATTTTTTTTAGTTGTAGTTGGACACAATATACTTATTTTATTTATTTATCTTTATGTGGTACTGAGGATTGAATCCAGGGCCTCGCACATGCTAGGCGAGTGCTCCACCTCTGAGCCACAACCCCAGTTCCAGCTCCAGCCCTTTTTGACACAGGGTCTCACAGAATTGTTTAGGGCCTTGCTAAGTTGCTGAGGCTAGCTTTGAACTCATGATCTTTCTGCCTCAGCTTCTAGAGCCAGTGGGATGGGATTATAGGTGTGCATCACCTTGCTCATCTCTTGGTTTTCTTTTATTGGTACAAATGACAGGTTCACCAAGAGAAATTCTATTTTCAGTGCATTTGGCAAGTAACATAGCTCAGTTGTCTGTTATCATTGGTATGATGAAAATACCAATAAGCTTTCCACAAAGCTGTAAATCATGGTTATGTCATCAGTGTTGAATGTATAGTAAACAAACAACCAATCACAGAATGTACTCAGAAACTGGTCCTTAACGTCATTCATTCAAGAGTTACTGAGAACTCACTAAGTGTTAGATATTGCTATAGGCCCTGGCAGTATGATCAATGCCATCTTAAGTCCTTAGACTTAGGATGCTTTATAACTCACTGTGGAGTTCTACACAATACACACATACACAAACATGTACAAAATAAACAAATTTGATATGAGGTGAATTGTATGGCTGGTTGAGTCAGGTAGGGTCTCAGCAGAGCTGTTTAAAGAACTTCATGACGATTGATGATTATAAGACTCTCTTCTGCAAGTTCAGAGGTCAGGTTCTCAATCTACAGAAACTACCTGAGTGTAGGAAGGATAGAATACACTGCACCTTGGGTTAGTATCTCCACATACAAGTAAATCAAGCAGGGTCAACCAAATCAATACAGGAGCGGTAGCAAGAGAACCCATCTAACCTCAGTTACTGCAAATGGCAGCAGTCTTATGACAACTTGGGAGATTTTGATGGGCTTGTCTCTATGAACTCAATTGCATATAGATAAAATATGCTGCTTCAATAAACAGAGTAAGATCCCAGAAAAGGAGATATTTTATTTTTGCCTTCTGAAAATTGTTAAAAAAGCTGTGCATAGTAGTGCATCCCTATAACCCTAGTGATCTGGGAGGCTAAGACAGGAGAATTTTGAGTTCAAGGACAGTCTCAGGAATTTAGGAGATCCTGTCTCAAAAATAAAAAGGGCTGGGGAGATGGCTCAGTGGTTAAGCATCCTTGGGTTCAATTCCCAGGTCAAAAAACAAAACAAACAACCAACAATAAAAAATTAAAAACAAAACAAAACAAAACAAACAAACAAACAAAAACCATTGTTGGTATTAATTACATGCAAGTATCTTCTTAGTTTGTGGCTTGTTGTGTCTATATTCTTCTGGCCATAAATATCATGTGTCACATAGAGTGCACATAATGCAAACTAAGACAGATAAGTTCCTTGTTCTCCTAGACTTTACATCTTACGGATTATATTCCAGTGGGGGCAGGGGAAAGGATGATAGAGATTGATAACAGAAATAGATACAGTAGGAGATGGGGATATAACTCCATTTTAGAGTGCTTGCCTTGCATGCACAAGGCCCTGGGTTCAATCACAGCACCACCAAAAAAACTGTAAAAATAAACAAACACAATGGTTCATAACAGAAAACAAGACACACAGTGAACAAATGCTTTACTTAGAAACTTTAAGACCCTTTGAAGGGGTAACATTGAAGCTGACCCAAAGTGTTTAGAAGCCCATCATGTTAGGGGAGGAAATAAATTTCAAGATAGTTAGCTGTGTTTGAAAAACTGTCAGGACAGCATTGATGCAGTTTAGTGAAAAAAAGATACAAAAGACCAGGCTGGAACTGCAGGTGGAAACCAGATTGCAGAAAGGTTTTGTAAGGCAAGGTGAGGAATCTTGAGTCATATTCTAAGTACTATGAATAATTTAATACAGCATATGAGCTGATCATTTTTTAAGTTAGAACTGTTAAGACTGACCTTTGATAGTACTGTTCAACCTCTCATTTCCAAAAATACACATCAAAATGCCTTTAAACTACTTAGGAATTAGACTAGAAATCTTGCATCTTCTAGAAGAAAACAGGGGGTCAACACTTCATCATAAAGGTGCTGGCACTGAGTTCCTTAACAAGACCACCAAAGCACAAGAAATACAACCAAGAATCAATAAGTGGGATGCCATCAAACTAAAAAGCTTCTGCAGAGCAAAGGAAATGATTAAGAGCATGGAGAGCGAGCCTACAGAATGAAAAAAATCTTGGCCAGCCACTACTCCAATATGAGATTAATACCCAGAATGTATAAAAACTTAAAAAAAAAAAAAAAAAAAAAAACCAAAAAACCAAATAACCTAATCAATAAATGGGCAAAACAACTGAATAGAGACTTCTCAAAAGAAGAAACACAAATGGCCAAAAATGTCAGGCATGGTGGTACATGCCTGTAATCCCAGCTGCTTGCGAGACTGACACAAGAGGATTGCAAGTTCAAAGCCTGCCTCAGCAATTTAGTGAGAACCTGTCTCAAAATTAAAACATAAAAAGGGCTGGGGATGTGGCTCAGTGGATCATCCCTGGAACAGAAAAGCAAAAAATATATGAAAAAATGTTCAACATCTCTAGCAATCAGATAAATGCAAATCAAAACTATACTAAGATTTCATCTTACTCCAGCCAGAATGGCAATGATCAAGAATACAAACAATACTACATGCTGTACATTGTTGGTAGGACTACAATCACTTTGGAAAACAGTATGGAGATTCCTCAAAAACTAAAGATGGAACCATTAGAGGACCCAGCTATCCCACGCCCTGGTATTTCCCCCATAGTTCTAAAACAGGCATGTTATTGCAATAAGCCACCTCAATGTATATAGCAGTACAATTCATGGTAGCTAAATTATGGAATCAATCAAGATGCCTGTCAATAGATGAATGGATTAACAAAATGTTGTATACATATATACAATAGAGTTCTATTCAGCCATAAAGAAGAATGAAATTATGGTATTTTTTCAGTAAATGGATGAAAATGGAGAAAATCATGCTAAATGAAATAAGCCAAACTCAGAAACTCAAAGGTCAAAAGTTTTCTCTCATCCGTGGAAGCTGGAGTAAACTAAAGGAACAGGGAAAGGAAGAACAGGATAACACAAAGGGAAGATCAGTAATGTAGAAGGAGATCGAGTAGCAGAGTGGAGGGATGGGAAAGGAGAGGCAATGCAGAGTGAATTCTTAAAAAGAAAAAAATATCACATCAAGTGCATATGTAAATATATCACAGGGAATTTCATTTTTATGCATAAATAAAAAGGAATCAATCAACTACAAAAAAATAAACAGGTGAAAGGAAGTCTAGTAGAGTAGAGGAGGAAGAACGGGGAGGGAGGGAGGACAGGAAGGAAAACGGGGAGGGGATCATGAACTAAAACTGAATCTCATGCATGTATGAGTTTGCATGGAGGAGCCCAACTACTATGTATAACTATAAAGCTCTTAAAAAAAAAAAAAAAGACTTTAAATTATATTTGGCATTTGCTACCTTTTCAATGGATATATTTCTTAGGATTTAAAATAATGAAATGCCATATTCTTTTTTTATTAGATCTTTTGGGAAAATACCAAGGAGTGGGATAGCTGGGTCATGAAATGCCATATTCTGAACAAAAGGCTACCTTACATTTATAATATATGTCAGGTATTCAAATTAACACATAAATTTTAAAGTTAAGAAAAGCATTCAAACTTGAATAGCAATCTACCATTAGTATTATAAAGGACAGAGGTGGTTGACAATTTATCATTAACAGATAGTAATTATTATTTCCCATTTTTGTAACACAATTACCAGTATTTGAAATCTTTTCAGAGCAGGCAGTGCCTGCATTTCCTGGGGCAATAAGCACTTGTTTGACATGATGAGACTGTGCAAGCTTCCAGGCCAGCGCATGTTCCCTTCCGCCACTGCCAATGACAAGTACTCGAGCTGCCATCGCTGTCTGTAAAGCAGGAATTCAAAGGAAAATGAACCTCTGAAGCAAGAAAATCATAGTTACATATGATTTTATGCATTTTAGAATGCATATGCTTTACATACCACAAATATTATTTAATCGTTATCTAAATGAGTCAAGTAAATAATTTGTACTCAAATGATATTTTCACCTACTAATTCATTTTTTAAAAAAATTGTCATTAATAATTTGAGAAAAATGACCGTAGTCATAGGGTAAGGGGGGATTCTAAAAATAAGGAAGACCGGCTTAGAGACCTAGATTAAGTCATGGTGATGTGGCTTCTGTTATGGTTTAGGTGTTCCCCAAGGTTTCAAGTATTGAAATTTAATCCCCATTGTGAGCTATTAGCAAAGTGGAAATGTAATCCAACTATGGTTACAGGCGGAGTTTTTGGAAGGTGATTAAGTTTAGAAAAGATCATTGGGGTGGAGACCCCACCCTAACAACCTTTTCTAAACCTAGGTGGTTTTATAAGAGGGCCAGACTGGAGATACACACATATATTTATGTGTATCAGTTTGGCTATTGCCACACTGATGCTCTGTGCCACTTAAGGACTTTACCAACAAGAAGCTGATCATCAGATGGGGCCCTTTGACCTTGCACTTCCAGAACTGTGAGCTAATAAAACTCTTTTCTTCATAACTTATTCAGTCTGTAATATTATATGCAACAGAAAATAGTAATATAGTTCCTTATCTGAGAAACAATGTCCTACAATCTCTCTTCTCTAGCTTCATTTTAGGACAAAGCCTTAATAAGAAAAAAATGATTGTTTGATTGACTAAGAGACTGGAGTCTTACTATGTTGCCTAGGCAGCCCCGTACTTTTAGGCTCAAGTGATCCTCCTGCACCAGCCTTCCAAGTAACTGGGACTACAGGCATCCACGCTGACACTTAAATTTAGACCCCAAATTTAAAATCTGTTTCTAAACGTTGAGACTGTATAGACAACTTTATGATAAAGTTATCACAAATTGAAAGAAATATTAAAGACTGGGGTCAGCAAATTTCATCTGTAAAGGACCAGATAGTAAATATTTGAGGGGTATGTGCTGTGTCCAAACTACCAACTATCTATGGTGACAAGAGAGGAGATATAGACAATACACTGAAAGGTGAACATGCCAATATCCAGAAAAACTTAACTTTATAAAACAGGCAGGTATTATTTGCCTACGAGGGCTCTAGGCAGTAGGAAACCACCTGAAAGTTTGTAACAAAATAAATAATAAATTTTTTATGTACAAACAATATAATTTTTATCACATGTGATAAAAACATTATCCACCATCCCCAAACCATTCTTATTTGGTGGGCTGAAAAATAGCCAGCAGAAAAACAGGTAGGAGTTAGGTGCAGTGGCGCACACCTGTAATCCCAGTGACTTGGGAGGCTGAGGCAGGAGGATCACTAAGTTCTAGGCAGCCTTACCAAGTTAGGCCCTAAGCAACATAGGTAAACCAGGTCAAAAAAGAGCTGGCAAAGTAGGTCAGTGGCAAAGTACGCCTGGGTTCAACTGCCAATACAGGAAAAAAAAATGCAAAAAAGCAAGGAAGCAGGCAGCAGAGGGGTTTGGCAGGAGGGAGTTGTAGTTTGCTGACTTCTGATTTAGGAAGTTTGTGTGCTATGTTTGAAATCTGGTAGAGAAGGCAAAAATCAATTTAAACACCTCTTAGTTTTGGTATTTGTGTGACCTTGGTTGTGTAAAGATTAACTGAAATGACATTTATAAAATATTAATACTACTTATAGAACTTAGGGGTTGTAAATGCAAACTTGTTACAATTACTTCTTTCACCCACATTCATATTTTGGAATAGAAACAATTTATCAAATCATTACACTAGGAGGAAAAAAAAGTGGCTGGGGGTATGGCTTAGTAGTACAGTATTCAGCAGAAGCCCTGGGTTCAATTCCCAGAACAAAAAACAAAGGAAAAAACTTCACAAAAGAATAAATAATTTGCCACATTAATTTACTAATTTTCAAAAGACATCTAACTATGTAGAAGGCATGATGGTACCAGGATAAAGAAACTGAAATTGATAACTTCCTGTAAGATGCTAAAACTACATACATAAAGGAAAATTTAAGCCTTTAATATTAAAAAGCTATTTTTTTAAAGCACTTACCTCATGCCAGGTGCCATTCTAAACTTTTCAAGAATTACCTCACTTGATCTGCATAAGATGAGGTAGATACTACTATTATTGCTACTTTACTGAAAAAGATGGAAGCCCAGTTAGATTATATAAATTGCTGGAGGTTACACAGCTAAGATGGTGCAGATTCTGGATTCCAAATGAAGCCATTTTCTTTAGATACTTTTCAGACAACAATTGACATGATTAGCATTATAAACTTATGGGGAAAACCCCTGCTAAATTAGTCTCAGAAGGAAAAGCTATTTTAATTCAACCAAAAATAGACATTTTATGTGTTATGTGCATTGAAATATCTGAAAGAAACATATCTTTAAATCTACAGAAAATATCACATATTTGTTTGAATAAAACTGGCAGTTTAAGAAAAATTTCCTGCTTACTTTACATACAGAATCTATGAAACAGCAGTGCTAGCCAGCCTGAAAGGTACATCAGGATTAGGCAAGAAGCTTGGGCTCCAGAAGTCGCTTTTCCTCACTCTTTACTAGCTGGGAAACCTTGAGGGACTTAACCTTGGGCCTCAGTGATTAGAATGGGTAACCTACAACGAGAACAGCAGAGCCAGAGAAGGCCACTTCAAAGAATTTGGGGAATAACGTACAGACACAAGTGGATCAAATCAGCTAGTGACAACGGACGCACAACGAGACAAGTGATGAGTATATCAATTTTGGGTTATGGCCTGAAAAAAGCATAAAGACACAAACAGGCCTGGCCCTATTCGCAAGGAAAGTGATAGCTCACGTGTAAACCTCCATTAACAATGCAAAGCACATGGCCAAGTCCCCAGCCACCGTATTTCAAAACAAGACGAAAATTTCTACAGCCAAGCGTGTTTCTACAATTCCACTCAGTTCCTGAAAGTAAATGCCCAGCCAAAGCATAAACGTGGTCTAAAAGCCGAGGGAGCTTACGCACCTATATCCACGGCCAAGCCGCTCGCACTCGCTGCTCGCCGGAAGTGGCCCCGGGCTCCCCGCGCCCGCCCCTCACCCGCCTCCCTCCCCATTGGTCGCCTGGCCTGGGTCCCTGGTCCAGGCAATCAGTGGGGCTCCTTCCCGCTCGGGCGCGGCTTGAGCCTGCTTGGGACCACAGCCTGACCAAAGCATGTTTACAGTGGGTCACTGTAGTGGGGGCTGCCACGTAACTGCTCCATTCCTCCACGGGAGCCTCCTGAGCTCTGTGGGAGTGCCCAGACGCCGAAGCCACGTTTGGCTCCTTGTGGGCAGTTCGCGAAAGTCAGAGCTGACCAGCTACTGCGGGGACAGTCTCATGACCTGCTCGGCTCCTAGGAGCCCAGAATGCACTAGGCTTTTGAGCGCAGGACCTCCAGCCTGTTGCTAAAAAAATTATCCGAATATCGGAGGCGGGGAGAGAGCCGGGATAGAAACGTTAATCGTGTTCACAGCACAGGAGGAACCCGGGCTCTAGTTCCTTCCCGTTTGCATCTCCCTGACTAAACTCAAGTCGGCGCCACTAGCAAACACTAGGAGCTCTAGTACAAGCACCATGTTGCGTTTTTTTTTTTTTTTTTGCCCTCGTTCCTCATGGAATTTCATCTCAGACATTCAGACGCGACAGCAAATCTCCTAAAGCCCCTCAAAACTGTTGGGGGGCCGACAACAGAAGCTGACAGGGATCTCTAGAGAGACTTCTGTAATGGCGCCTGCGTCAGATACTAATATGGCGGACTTAGTCGTGCGCGGCGCAAACGTCAGCAGCTCTCCCCCAGCCGCTCGGAAACAGAGGAGGAGAGCGGGATCGTGCCCACTGATTAGTCCGTTGGCGGAGCGTGCCGGTCTGGGCGCTCCCACACGAACCAATCAGGAAGGAGAGAGAAGGAATTGGCCGCTGCGCCTCCTCCCGAGGCATGCTGGGAGCCTGGAGGACTAGCGAGGAGGAGTTGAGAGAACGGAGCGGACGCCATGGCGGCCGACATCGAGCAGGTTTTTAGGTCTTTCGTGGTCAGTAAATTCCGGGAAATCCAACAGGAACTTTCCAGGTAAATACCTCCCTGACTTTTCTGCTCCCAAAGGGCTGCTAGGCCCCCCGCCTTAGGCTTCCATGGTACCTTTCTTCAGAGACGCCGTCGTTCCTCGGCTCAGGCCCCGCTACGGCCCCGCCTGGGCCTGGGATCCATTTTCCGGGCCCTCCCCCCCAACCCTCCATCTGCTCGTTCCCTTTTCCCCGAGAAACTTCGCCTTTTCGGTGGTAATTTCAGACTCCTCCTTTTTTACAGAGTTTAGACGCTCACCCTTCTCTGCCGCTTGCTCGCCCCTTACCCTTTAGCGACTGGTAGGCCTACTTGTCCACCAGGGACGGGCCTAGTCCTTCCTCAGCCCCTCCTCCGCCGCCGCCTCTCCCCTCCCCCTCTCCGCCTCCGCGGATTTCGCCGGCCGGTGTCTGTGACCGGAAAGGGTCTCTAACGGCCGTTTCTTGGGTAATCTTAAATCCGCTCTATTATTGCCGGCTTCACACCGTTTGGGGGCCGGGAGCCATTAATTCTGCTTTTCGGGCCCAGTATTCTGTGTTTTCCACCAGGCAGCATTCTAACAGATTAGAGATTTAAGTGAAAATACCGCAAATTGATATTGGCCAACTTGTGAAATATTCGAGAAGAGGATGGACTGGGTCTTGGAAATACCGATGATTACTAGATTTTGAGAATTGGAAAGTGGATTTTGTGTCTAGAACAATTTTTTTTCTTGCTACCCCTGCCTCAGTTGACATATTGATCAGCACGCTAGTTTTACTATTTCTGATAGACTTTACATAGGTCACTTTGGTTTCACGAAATTTAAAGATGGAGAGATCTCCAGAGTAGTTTACCGAGAAAGGAAAATAGTGTGGCTCTTGCTGTTAAGTGGTTGTCTTTTAGTATTTTTTGTTTTGTATGATACTCAAAAGGAGGTTGGAAAGAGATCTTGAAAAGTAATTTACTTGTTCTGAGTTACACTGTTTTTGCTAATTGTATTTTAAAAGTTTAGAGCAAGAACAATATGTGAATTTGAAAATAGTCGGAAACGCAATTTAATTAGGTATCTAAATGAACATTATTGGAGGTAATGATGTATTACTGCAACACCTTTTTGCAGAATGTGTTGTTTTTTAAGTGGGAAATATATCTATCTCTCGTTAACTTGCTTTTGAACGTTTTGTGATATTGGTAGTGCTTTTTAGGATGAGAAGAGACTTGAGCTAAGGGAAAATAATTGTCTTGGAAACTTTTAAATAGTTGTATGACATCAGTAATTGTGTTTGCTTTGTTTTAAAGCTTTTAAAAGTAAGTCTTTCTGTTAGAAAATGAGCATTTCTTTTGCTGTAAAAAAAATCTAGAAACTATAAAAGGAGAAAAAAACCAAACACTGCTCTTATTGATGTTATATCCTTTAGTTTTTGCTTCTGTATACAGATTAACATGCGTTTTGTTAATGTAATTGTTCTATTTTATTTTTCAACCTGATAGTGCCAAGTAGTTTGTCCATAACAGACTCAAAATTTGGGTTACTCTTCATGGCTGCATAGAATTACTTTGAAGGAATATATTGAAGGATATTTAAGTGGTTTGAAATTCTCATTGCTTTTCAGTAGTTGCAATTAATATCCTGGCAGCTTTTAAGGTGTTTAAGATTGCTTTCTGAGCAGACTTTTTAAAATCGTAGTTTTCTGACTTTTAAATATATGGTAATTATGTATGTATAAGTGCTCAGGAAAAGTGTAAAATAGTGCTTCATAAAGGCAATCTTAAAGGAATATTAGATAAAGCAGATTATCACTAGGGAAATATTCAGCTCTTTAACACAAATTAATGTATTATTGGTGTAAAGACAAGATTTAAAAAAAATTTTTTCAGTTGTAGATGAACACACAGTATCTTTATTTTTATGTGGTGCTGAGGTTCGAACCCAGTGCCTCACACATGCAAGGCAAGTGATTTACCACTGAACTACAGCCCCAACCCAAAGACAGGTTTTTTATTAACCATTTCAGTGAACTGTTTTTTCTGTTTTCCCCATCTACTTTTACATGCATCTGGGTCATAAAGTGATGTTTAGATAGTTGGAGTAAGTGATCCAGTGTATATAGAAGTGTTCGAGAGTATGGGCTCTGGTTTTGAATACTTGCTTCACTTTTTAATAGCTATATGATCTTCAGTTTAGTTTCTTGTCTTCTCTCTGCCCCATTTCCCTCATTTATAAAATCAGAGTAATAGTGGTGATTTGAGTTTTAGTAGGACTAAATGAGTTGAAAATGTAGAACATGACATGACACTACTTAGTACTCAACAAATGTTTAGTATTATTACATGGTTCATTATATTCGAAAATCAAATGTTCTTTAACATTTAGTTAATTACTGAATTTATTTTGACTAGACTTTTATGTGTTTTCAGTTAGCTAAAATTAATGTAAAATTAATATTGAAATTATTAGATTTCAAAATTTTGCACATTTACACAAAAACAAAAATGATTACAAGGTGAAATGTTTTATCTATACTTAAGTTCTTCTGACTCTTTGAGTTGAAAGTATGTTAAGCCATCTATCATTTTGTTAGTATAAATGAGTTACCACTTGTTTAATGTGAATTTTTTTGAACATCAGAAATTTTTTAATACCAGGATTTTTGATAATTAGGTATAAATTATATAAATATTTTTCTCTATAAATTTTATGGCATTTCAGTAACAGCCTTAAATCTGAACAGAGGCTACAAATTACTTTTTTTACTCAATGTGTCAGTGGCTAACTTCTGTGTCCCTTGATACTGTTTATTGTAATTGTGACCTGTGCACAGGTGTGGTTTTATTGTGGCCATAGTTTCTACCATAATGTTAGATCATCTTATTTAAGCTCTTACTAATATTTCTCCCTGGAGAGAAGTATATAGGTAACCCAAAACCTCAAGTTATATTTCTGGAATTATTTCATTTAAAAAAGGTTTTGCTTAGAAATATGATTTTGTATATATATTTTCTTAACTTTCAGTGCTGAACACTTTGTGTAAAAATGAAAATATCCCAGCTATGAGTATATCGTATTAAGGATGCCTAGTGGCAAATATCTGAAATAGGAAAAGGGTGAAAGGTGTGGATAATATAATATAGAGATCATATTAATTGGAACATCAATATTAACTTATTGATTTATCATGTGGTGTGATAAAATGTTAATGAATTTTGAAAAACTTTTCTTGTCAAGTGGAAGGAGTGAAGGCCAGCTGAATGGTGAAACAAATACACCTATTGAAGGAAACCAGGCAGGTGATGCAGGTGCCTCTGCCAGGAGCCTACCAAATGAAGAAATAGTGCAGAAGATAGAGGAAGTGCTTTCTGGGGTCTTAGATACAGAACTACGATATAAGCCAGGTAAGACGGAGATAAATGTCTCAAAATTTTGGTTTTTAAGTTTTTTTAATTTTTTATTTGAAGGTTAAGTATTATTTTAAAGTTTTTATTGAATCAATTTACTGATGACTTTCTTGGTAAAATTCTCCTTTGAGAACAAAATTAACTGAAACATGAACATTGATGCATTTCTTTGCTTTCCTGGTAGAATATAATTTTTTCTCTCTTTGATTCAATTTTATAGTGTCTTAGTGCCAGGATTTTTGAATGTGGATTTTCATTGAACAGTTGTCTATAAACATCAGATTTGGATGGTGTAGTATCCTGGGTCAAATATGTTTTTTTTTAAAGATATAACCCTAGGAGTTTTTATTTTAAAGTCTAGGCTTAGAGATGTCTCGTTTGTATACACTCACACCATTTAAAAATACAATGAGAGGGAGTCATTGTATGAATATTTAGATTTTTAAGAGTTGATTAAATAATTGATATTTACAAGGGAAGGATATATAATTATAAAAAATGATAGTTACTGTCTTTAG